TATATAATATATATATATTTAAAAATATTTTTATATATTTACGTGAATACTTATTTATACTAAAAGATAGACATATATATAGATAAAAAGATAAAAAAAAATAAGAAGAATAAGAGAATAGTAACTGCATTCACTCTTTAGTTGCCAACCAAATATTTAAATCCATGATCAAAATAATTTTTGTTATTTCCTTCATCCTAAATTACGATTCTATAAACGTAACCGAGGAATCAATTAGTATTCCGTTTAAATGCACTTCAATGATTAAAGTTCACTTTCAAACAAAGAGAAAAAAATAGATAAGAAAAAGAAACAGAAAAAGAAAGAGAGAGAGAGACAGAAAATTAGTTTAAAAAGGAAATGTTTTAAAGATAATGTTAACGTGCTTAACGCGAAAAGAAAAAGAAAAAACAACAACTCGTCATTGATGGAAAGAGGAAATTATACTAGGAAGGACAAAAGTTTAGAATCGACCATGATGATGGTGTGTTGGTCAAGGAGATTGGCTTGGGAATGAGCGGGGGGGGGGATCAGAAAGAGTATGATGGTGTGGGTGGGTGGTTATGGTAAAACGACGTAGTCGTTCGTAGTTGTCGATCTATTTGAAAGTTTCTCACGTTCGCGAAGGCAAATGACAATTCCATGTTTCACGGATGCGAGTTACGAAGGTAACTAGGAAACCAACGACTAACAGCAAGAATTAAGAGGGAAGGGGAAGGGGGGTGGAAGAATAAAAAAGGAGGAAGAATAAGAAAAGAAAACATTAAAAAAAAAATAAAAGAAAAGGTTTTTTGTTCTTATGCACGAATAGACTATAACACCTTCTTCCTTTTACTATCCCCCCTTTCCCCCCTTGTCCCCCTCAACAACACCTTCCTACTCTTCTACACACACTCTCTATCCTTCTCTCAATTTTTTTTTCTTTTTACCTTTGGCTCACTACCACTACCACAACCACCATCATCACCATCATGATGATTTTTTTTTGTTGGTTTTGTTTTTTTGCTTATTCTTTTTTTTTAACACACCAATGTCTTCTTGTCGCCTTTCTCGCGTGGGATGAATACGTCTGTTGAGGTGGAGAATTGTTGTCGTTGCATCCGGGATGAGTGAGTGCATTCTGCGATTTACGTTTTCGACTTTCTCTCGGTTGATAATTCTTATGGAAAAAAGGGTTGGGCATTTATGTGTGCTTGATGAGTTGTTACGTTTTAATATCAGATGAAGGATAGATACATTAATCGGATTGTTTATTGGTAATATCATTAATTATATTTCATTTGTAATATTTCATTTTGAATGTGATTAGATTTTTTTTTATATTCGTGTTTGAGTGCAGTTTATTTAATAATTGAATAAATAATGTTAATCGCGAAATGTGATTTTAATTGAAAGTATTAATTTTAATGTGAAAAATAATCGCGTTTTAATCGGTTACATGTTTAAATTGTAATGTTAAACGATTTAAAAATAAATAAGAAATCTTATATACCAGATGAATGTATATATATTTATAAAAACTGATCACATCATACAGATAAACCTGAGAGATGCATAGATAGTTTATTAAACGTTGTAGAACTAGTAGGATATTACATGTCGGATATATATTATACAAACATTATGTGTCTCTTTTTAACATTAGATTTATGATACCCGTCATAGAAATTGTCCAGAAAAAGCACACATATATACGGTATTATTTAATAGAAATTTATTTTTATCGACATTGATCGATGTTAAAATATATAAATATATATATATTTCATTTTGTATCTCTTTTATCATATCATCTAGTCCCGTTGTTATTACGTATGATTAAAAATAAAAATTATATTGTGGTCCTAAAAAAAAAAAAATAAAACAAACAAATATTTAATTCAATCTCAAATATTGAAAGAGACCAGTTAAACATTAAACAAAAA